CGACCTTCTTAAATCGTATTTGAGTGATAGCGTTGAGAGGGTTGATATTAACGGTACATGATCATCAGGATCTGCAATTAAAGTGGGCGTCTCTCAAGGTCCCAAACTAGGTCCATATTTATTTTTAGTTTATATTAATGACTTACTTCGAAATAGTTTGCTGATGGTACTTCTTTATTAAATCTAAAATGTGTATAAATATATATTTACAAAGAGCAACCCCTACAGTTTCTGAATCCGAATGAATAGTACTGTGGCGGAGCGACCTCTTTCATCGTCACTATAATTTTTTATCACCCTTTTCTCTGTTTCCTGGCCACTTACTTTTGAAATTTTGAATCGTTCTCTAATTGTTTTGCCTCGTCATTCTTACTTTGCTTCGTTCCGTCGCCACTCCCATCAAAATTCTCGGAGAGGAAAGACCGTATCCTTCTATCATATAAACCTAATTGCTTATAAGCAGCAATAATACGAATACAGACCCTTTAAGGTAGGTTCATTAATCATATAATAATAAGCTATAAGTTTCTATCTGTAGGAAGTGTTTTTATATTATTGTACCTGTTTCTATACTTACCGTTTTTTGTTACAGCCTTTACTGTACCTGTCGTTCCTTTACCTTTTCCCTGTTATACTTCTACAATAAATTAATGTGGAGCGATGCGTACTTTCTATTACTATTACTCAAGCCCTCGGTCACAGTAGTGTTTACCCAATTTGATGACTTTAATGCAAGTTGAAGAAGTTATTTTGGAGCGATTTAAAGATACATTTGAATTTTCTTACTTACTTACTTCGGTGGCGCAGCGACCCAAAGTGGGTCTTGGCCTTTGACACCAGATTCTATCACTCCTATAGGTCCTGACGCTGCTCCTTCCAGCCTCTAGCATCGAGGTCCTTGAGATCTTTCAGGACTTCATCGCTGCAGCGGTACCTGGGGCGTCCGACCTGTCGGCGCCACGATCTTCTCCCATTCTCTCCACGTGTCCTGGCTAGCGGAGTCTCGTAGCTTTTGTTTCTCCCACGATATTGGACCCGAACATTAGATGTTCAATCTCAAGGTTCTTGGTTTTGAATTTTCAGACCCTTTCTAATGAAATTCGCAAAATAGGAATTATAGTAGAAATATAAGTAAATGGTTAATAGAACATAAAGTTTTAATCATTGCAAGATTTTTCAAGCAAATACAACTTTATATTGATAAAAATTGAGTCCATTTTATCGATTTCATAATAACATTGCGTTATTGACTAACGTTTTGATATTGAATAAGTGGCGTGGTTGTTTTAGTCTCAGAAGAGGAGTAAGTGTGCTACAAAAATAATTGCAACGGAAAAATTGAGTCACTTGGTTTAGATCTGGTTCACTGTACAACAGTGGCTTGCCTAAATTTTCCACGTATCATATTTGATGATCATAATTATTTTAAAGCAATTTACTACATTTTGTGCTTAATTGTACGTGTACAATAATTAACAAGTGAAATTAGTATCTTGTATGCTAATAAGTTTATTAAGACAAGTGTTTTTGTTTTGCTCGGGCTTTACTAAAGACAATTTTAATAGAAAAGAAAGAAAGAAAGACACTTATCACGCCTCACTACTGTTATACAATTTATTTAACTAACAATAAATATTTATTTTTGTTTATTTATAGCAAACAATGTTAATGCATGCATAACACAGGTAATTACTAAGTACAAACATACCCCATTGATGTGTACCAAGTATCGAGTTCTTAGGTTTTCGCGATTGTTACACATAGGAAATGAAACTATTTTTCCGGATTTATATCGCGTATATTTGTTTTTTCAAACAAACCGACGTTTCGGGCCCTTTACAGGTCCCATGGACACGGTTGACTATGGGACCTCTAAAGGGCCGGAAACGTCGGTTTGTTTGAAAAAACAAATATACGCGATATAAATCCGGAAAAATAGTTTCATTTCCTATGTGTACCAAGTAGTTAATCGTCTCTAATAGCTAACAAAAACAAACGTAGACATTAACGTGCTTAAAATAGATACAAAAATAACAGGAAAGTGCAGGTATTGATACTTCATGGAAGAATTGAAGAGTTCATCAGCTCTTTCACACCATCTTATAGGGGAATCCATGAAGTCTCTCACACTGTAGTAGCACCCATTCATCAAGAGAGACTTAAATTTGGTTTTAAATATATTGTCATTTTCTTCTATCTTAAGCGAGTAAAATTTATGGATTTATTATTGTGTAGAAGAAGCGGGAAAAAATGTTCCGTAAACCGCATTACGTAAATAAAAAAAAAAAAAAATTATTTCAGATAATTGCAATCCATATTTCACATTTCAAATTATGTTATTATCATATAACTTATGTAATATATTTCATTTAGATAATTAAAACGAAAAACATTGAACCGAATTCTGTTACATTATATTTGAAATGCTAACTGACTCCGACGTGTATAAATATTATTTACGGTTGAAAATTAAAAATAAACCAAATGTACTTAAATACAATTGAAAAATAGGTACGCTAACCTCAGCTAGTGTTACAACGTTGTGGCTTTTGCGGAGAAAACCCTGGGTCTCTAGGGGCTACAGACGAAGCTCCTCGATAAGCTTTCAGTTTGCTTCGCTGAAGCCCCCGGTGGTCAGAAAGCTGGCAGCTACTTCCGACTAAGAATAAGTGTAGCCATCCCAAGAGAAAACTTCTGAATTCCATAAGCATTGTTTAAAATTATAAAGAATCTATTATTCAAAAAATAACCATAAACAATGTAGTCAACATGCCATTTGTTGATGTCCAAAGTAAGTACTATACACACAGAGCGCGACGCGGCGTGTGACCATTACTAATTAGACTGAGGGTGATTGACAGAGTCGTAAATTTTGCATGGACACCGCGTCGCGTTTCATGTGCAGTGACCGTTAGGGACTAAACAATATGGACTATGAACTTAACAATCTGAAAAGCTTATTTTTATTGGCATAGGGAATGCTTTTCTATGACACTCATACATAATGTTGTCCTTTTCCTAACGGCAAGCCATCGTAACTGGTATTAGGCAAATTTTTCTAGATAGCGTTTTTTCGACTTAACACATTACATTTTGTGCTCGTATAAGAATCTTTCCATCAATGAGTTCGTGTATAAAAAAGGTTCATATAGTTATTTAAAACACACGTTCCCTGTAAATGCATCATACGTGGTGCTTTTCGGAAATGTATTAAAGAAAACATCTGTAAAAATAACACTAAACATGCATGCACCATATATATATATATATAGCACCAAGTAAAGATCTCATACGTGCTTGTATCACATTTGGGGCACTTGGGAAATTTGAGAAAATGCGAAGGGGGTTTATGGAAATTATTTTTCCATCGAATTCCAATGTATTTGCAAAATAAAAAAAATTACACATGAGGGGTCAGTTTCTGATTTACCAGTTACAAAGGGAAATTGTTAAGAATTGGAGGCGTAGTGTGAATGTTCGCTATTGAAAGCTGTATAGGACAGGACAAACAAGTCGTGCGCCTGGTGCAGTTCCAGTGCCATAGCGCCCGTCATCCTGAGATAAATTGTCTCATGTGTAACAGTATTTTCACCACCACTCGTAATAAAAACCGGAAGGCAGTAATGCTCACATTACTGCTTAGCAGCAGAAGCAGATATGGCAGCAGTACTTCCTTGGACGAACTCTTTCACAAGATACTCTATTGCTTCTAAATCTTGTAAATTTCTATATGAAATGGAACTATTTCAAACATACCAACGTTTGAAACAACAAATAGATCGCTATTACAATAGTGTTGTAATTCAAAATATGTGAAATTCAAGATTTTACCATTGCTGTACGTAAAATTGGATTATCCATACTTGAATAAAACTGTCGTTACAATGTTTTAAGAAATAATTAAAAAATATCTACTTGGCTCAAAATGAGATACTTTACGTGAGCTAGTTCTAGCCAAGACAGTCCTTACTTAAATATATAAAATGATTTTTTCACTTTTATTTTTAAGTATATTTGGCAAGTTTAGATGTCTGTAATAAACTTTAACCTGTACATAAGATTTAATGATCTTTCAAAGTAGTTTCATTTCCTATGTGTAACAATCATTAAAACCTAAGAATTCGACTTGTTAATTTCTTTTTTCAATATACAACCTTAGAATAATAACGCATAGAAACCTAGTCCGCACATGCTAAGTGAGGCAAATTGAAGCGCTCCCAATGGGCCTACACGAGCGGACGGGCCTTCAGTGCTCAAGGTCAACTTGCACCGCGAACTAATTTTAGCTAAAAATGATGAAATGTGCGGTAAATGAGTGTACAAAAAACGTCAGACAAACATAAAATAGATATTAACATCACATTCCATAAGGAAGTAACGCGTTTCAACTTGTATTTTTATATAAATATTCACTAAAACCGAAAATTAACCTACTACTAAAACAAGCCTACATGAATTTGATTTTTGCCTCACTTGTGACAGTTCGTTTGATATGAAACTATCATTCTATGCGTTATTATTCTAAGTATACAATAAGTTGTTATCATAACTTAGTAAGCTAAGTTATGATAAAAATATCACATTAATCAGCGCGGAGAGGAACGATATAGGATAACTTGTCTTAATCATTAAGTTTTTTTTTATCTTCATTTAGTTTTAGGACTTTTGTTCTAGAGAACATAAGCTTATTCTAATTGTCATGCAATTCACAAATCATTAAGTTATATTTCATAGTAAACTATGCCTCTTAGGGAGCTTTTAGGTTTACCCAAAAACTACACATTGAAATCGAAGCTATTTTTTTCGGATCCAAAATCGATAGCCAGTAGAGACCATATACCTTATAAAGATCGCAGACTTTTTTTTTTTTTTTTTTTTATTTATTACGTTATTATTACGTTGGTTTATATGAAAAAAAACAAACAAACATGATTTAATTGAATATTTGTACAAGTCAATGTTCCTGACGTCATAAGTAATTATTTTCACTTTTGTTACAGGAAATTGCGGCAATTCTCATCAGTTTCGATAAACACAGCGAATGGCAATCCAAAGAGGTCAAAATCCGGTAAGTGGCACCTCCTCAATATTATTTTCTTGTAAACTTACTGTTACGGACGGCAGTGGCGTGTCTGGTCAGTCAGGGCAAGCGAGCGAAGAGGAATGAATCTCGCGAGATTATTCGCGTGCTCTGATTGATCGGGAGCAACCGCGGCGCATTGAGTACGCAGGTACGGTATGGGAGACACCGTACCGATACTTAATAGGAATCCGATTAGATTCCAATAAGATATTAAAATGGTAATAAGACAGATTGAATGAATTAATTAATATAAGTTATTTCGATACCAACAACCAAGCAACCTTAAGTTTTTATATCCGGAATAGTGTATGTAGTCCATTTTCGAATAGTTACTTTCATATAATCAATTTTGCTGGTAATTCAAACTATCTGGAAAATAATTTACATTATGGGTAACTCACAGGTGTCGCTAATGGTGATAAAAGCCGAAAAACCTAATACAGTAGACATCATCAACTTCTGTTGAATCTGTAGCTCAATTGGTAGAGCGGTGATACGTAGTTTGGCATGCCTACAGACGCAGGTTCGAGTCTTGTCATATCGAAGGAATTTTTGTTTGTATTCAATCTTTGTGTTAATAATTATTAAAAACTAGTGAACAAAATCTACGGAAGAAAAGTCGTTAAAAACCAAAAAACAAAGATCTGCAACATGCACATAGAAAAATTCGTAAGGTCCGCTGGTTCGTCCTGTAGCTTAGTTGGCATAGCGTCTGGCACGGTTCGCTAAAAGACGTTGGTTCGAACCTAGCCGAATCTAAGGGATTTTTTCTAAGTGGATTATTTTATTTTACTTTTTTTATAATATCAAGTGACGGAACGAACAAGTCGTGTGTCTGGTCGTAAGCTACACATCTGTGCATAACAGTTGCAGTGACACTCAGAGCTTTAATCGCAAAGATCTGAGAATCACTGCCACTGCGCCTGTCAGCCCGAGACATAAGTTGACAAGTCCCTTGTGGCTGTATTTTCATCAGCAAAACCGGAACGCAGCAATTGCAATGGGCACATTACTGCTTGGCGGTAGAAATAAGTACTGCCTAGTGTTATGTATTTGCGATTTAAATCTCCACGCAAGCCTGTTGCTTTTTTTATGATAGAATAAGTGCGCATTTGACCTTCAACTCACCTGATGAAAAATAACGATGAGGTCGACGATGGAGCATGCACACATATACATTTTCATACACAACTTAACCACCAGGTGCACGACTTGTCGTCCAGTTAATTAGTATCATAAAAAAAGAACTTGTTTTGCGGGGATTGTGGATGTGGAACTTTCATCGCCATGTAGGTTTATTAAGAAAACCAACGGCGTTACATACGTAAAGTATTATATTTGCAAGAAATAGCCCTTTCCTTTTCGGTTGGCGAATACGCCAAGTCTGGAGTCGTTCAGAAGTAAATGACACGTGTCGAATTGTTACTGGCTGTCTGAAATCAACCCCTGTCGGTACGCTGTACCCGCTGGCTGGTGTTGCCCCTTCGAACATCCGTAGAGACGTGGCTAGCTCCCTGAAACGCTTAAAAAGAGACTGACCCGTGGCACCCATTACACCATCACGTGCCGGTAATCCAGAGGCTAAACAGTCGCCATAGCTTCATTAAAGAAGTATACCCTCTGGTCGGGGAAACTAAACAGGCCTGAATAAGTCTCTGGAAGGAGAGATACCCCACGGCGTCACTCATCCTGCTGTCGGAACACCTCCCTCCTGGGCATGATCTACCTTGGCAAACTTGGAAGTCCTTAAATAAGTTGCGGACCCAAGTCGACAGAAGCAAGGAGTGGGTGGGGTTACAGCTGAAAGAGCGCATGTCCGTGTGGTGTCTCTCCCCAGACAATTTACACGTCTTTTGTCGTACCCTGCGTATCCCTACACCTGCATACGTGAGGACCTGCACAACGCCACTGATAATGCTGTCAGTCGCTAAGTATTGGTCCTCACAAATATAAACGTCAGAGTCGACAAGCCAAGAAGAAGAAAAATACAGGCTTTTTTACCATGTGTAACCTGTTGACCTGTATGTAATTTAAGTAGGGAGTGTTTTTATATGGTTGTTCCTGTGTTATACCGTTTTTTCCTATTTCTATTTTACCATAAATGATGTGGAACGAGAATTTCATATGATTAGTCAAAACCGTCGGCCACACTACTACTGGACTGCCACCGCTCTTCAGTATAACCGACGGTCTACTTTCACCTACCTAATTTAATTGACTTGCAACATTATGACGAACGAAATATTAATAATAATCCCCAAACCTCTTACTTGTTGGACCCACGACCCGCAAGCTTTCAAGGGACTGGGTCGTTTAAGCCTTAGAGAAACATAATCTTAATAATTATTTCTCATTACACTGGAGACCGTGTTCATGTAAATTTAAACGTTAACTTATTTCTAGAAGAATATTATTTATGTGCCTAAACTCGGTGACAACCCTGTGTAACAGTCTCTAGACGCACCAATGTCACATTAATCAATTCAGCGGCTATAGAGCTTCTTGTGACAGAGTTCGTCCAGAGTACTGCCACCTTACCTATTTCTGTAAGCTGTAATATGAGCATTCTGCGTTCTAAGCGTAAGGGTGTTGGTGAAATTACAGGCACATGAGACTTGGTATCTTAAAAATCTGGTTCGAAGATTCGGGCACGACTTGGTGTAAGCAAAGAAATTATTTCATAGTATAACGGCTTTACAATAGGTCCTTCTAACATCATGGTATTCCGGTGACCTCGACTACCTTCACCTGTACCATTGTAATTCCAACCGTGTTAGGAGAAGGTCATCGCGGTGGTTTGTCTTTCTTTTGTATTATCTTGACAATTGTAGTTGCATTGTTATTGTTATAACGTTCAAACCACTTATTGAAAAAAAGTGTATTAAACAGCAGTATTGACAAATTTGATGTTTGTTAGCAACACATCTCATAGATGGCGCTACGACTAAAAAGTCGTTGAAAGACCAAGTACAAAGACACGACGCAAGCACATAGAAAAATTCGTGATGTCCGTTGGTTCGTTCCGTGGCTTAGTTGGTATAGCGTCTGGCACGGTATGCAAGAAGACGTCGGTTCGAATCCGACCGGATCGAAAGATTTTTTTCTGAGTGTTCGATCTTTGTATTAATAATTATAACAAACTAGTGGAGTAATTTCACAAAAAATAATTGAATATCAATTCAATAAAATTTAATTAACACACAAATCTTTATATTAAAAATATATCTTTGTTTTTCTTAATAATTTGTACTTTGCTCTATGTGTATGTAGTCCTATTATATTATTCCTTGCTTTGTTTTCGTTTTTTTAATGTGACAATTGCGATAAGAAATAAATGTTTTTCGTTTTTACTATATTTAGTAGAAACTATGTTTTATATGGCAACCTGAAGCCGGAAAGGCAGTTTATGGTTCTAGCCAGACTGTCTTTAACCTCACAATTTCTTTACAAAATACGTATTTTGACACCAGACTAGACAAAATGAATAATATAAGTCCGGAGCAGAAGAGGTTACTTTATTGATAATTTACTTAAAACATTAACAACTAAGTAATCTTCTAATTTAAAAGAAACTCCAATTCTTTTACTCGTACTATGCAAAAGAAGTTTAAACAAAGAGGAATTAAACTATCACAGGACTTGTATCGTGATACTTTGGGTCGATTTTTCCGTCTCTTAGCTCTTGATGAGTCCTACTAATGTACTGTTCGATAGCGAAACGGTTTTGTTCAAGATTTATCCATTTGATTAATATCTGATTCTACATTAACGTCATCATCAACCCATTCATGCGTCCCACAGCTGGGCACGGGTCTCCTATAAGGATTGGGGACTTCCCACGTTCCCCGAGTGTTGTAAACCTTGTTCAACGTGCAAGTAAAGTATAATTTAAAAGTATCATTATGATGTTTTACTTTTTTTTTTTTTTATTTTCACCGAAAATTCAAATTTCGTACATTAGTTCTGAGAAACTTAAAGGTGCTAGCCCGGATTTGTACCCACGGCCTCTGTTTGACGGGCTATCAAACCATTACGCTACCACGATTTTTTACATTAACGTTATTGTTAACGTATTACAATAACCATTGAGTAATGGTAAGTTGGAATTTAGTGATTCGAATTTTGGAGGTTTGTCAACGGCGTCGAGCCGGAATGTAGGCCACATGATGCACCACAAGCGGCAGGCCACCCCTATCGTAAAACGGGAAGTGCGTCGTGTGGGTTGCCACGCGGCAGAGCGTGAGGTTATCCCTATCGCAAACCGGGCGGATTATCGTCTGACAACTCCGCGGAACCGCAGTCCCTGTGTAGTGCGGAATATAACGACATTCGTCTATAAATGACATTGTCTAACACTTGACGTGAGCAATATTTAATTTAAATTGGCGTACGGAGAGATGTAGGCGGTTCTTATTAAAATCTACCACCTACCAAATGTTTTAGAAGCAGTTGAGCCCCTTGTGAAAGGGCTCGCCCAGGGAAGTACTGCCACCTTACCTATTTCTGCCGCCAAGCAGTAATGTCAGCATTACCGTGCTCCGGTTTTGAAGGGTAAGGGTGCTGGTGAAATTACAGGGACATGGGACTTGTCAACTTATGTCTCTGAGTGACGGGCGCAGTGGCAGTGCCCCTCAAATCTTAGCTATTTAAAGCTCTGAGTGACACTACAACAGTTATGGACATTCGTGTACCTTATCATGAAGCGCACGACTTGCTCGTTCCGTCGCTTGATTTTATAAAAAAATGTTATAAAACTCTTATAAAGACGCTTAACAAGTGGAGAGATCAAACGTAAATTTGTGTAGTGAACACAGTTCTGGAGTTATTTCTTTTATGCCGAGTGACGGGACAAACTGGTCGTGCGCCTGGTAATAAGTGACACGTCTGTCCATAGCAATTACAATTGCCAATCAGAGCTTTAAATATCGCAATGAATTTTTTTTCTGTAGTATTAAGAGGGAGCATGCCAAAAAAGTTTTTACGTT